GTGTGGTGGCGTGGTCCCCGCTGACGGTGCCTCAGCATGTGCTTTTGACGAGTGACGCAGGTGACGCTGACACGCGTTCAGGGCATGCTGGCCACCTGATGTGCCTCTTGGAGAGGTGCAACAGACATTGAGGGGATTGTTGGTGTGAGGTGTGCTGAGGTGCAGGGGACATGAGGAGCCCCAAAGAAGTGTGTACAGAAAAAGTACTGATAAAACACAGTGATCTCATCAGGAGAAGCACAATTGATGGTTCTTCACTGGTATGCGAGTGGAAAACCCNGTGTGGTGGCGTGGTCCCCGCTGACGGTGCCTCAGCATGTGCTTTTGACGAGTGACGCAGGTGACGCTGACACGCGTTCAGGGCATGCTGGCCACCTGAGGTTTATTTTGGAGTGGGGCAATAGACAAAGAGGGGATTGCTGGTGTGAAGTGCATTGAGGCAGCTGTGTAGTGGCTCTTCTCAGGTGTAGGGGGGAAAGTAAGAAGTCCCATAGAAGTATGCAGTAAACGTACGGATAAGATACGGTGATTTAATCAGGAATCAGGTATGTATGCTGAGCGAAGAATCATGGAGAAATGTCCACTGTACAAGTTCTTCCGTTACTGATTGTCTGTGCTCTGTATGCTGTTTGCTGTGTTTTGCTTCTGTTTTTTTTATTGCTGAATCAAGACAAGCAGCTCCTAGTAGAACTATTAATTATTTCAAGCAATCGAAGAACATGAAGCACCTGACAGGGAAATCGCAATTGACACATCTACGGTGTTGCAATATACCAAAGAACATTGACAGGTGCAGTCTCAACGATATGGGCCTCTCTGAACTTGTTTCAATCCTGCGTCGAGGCAAAAGGAAGACGAGACTACAGGCATCTATGGGACTGCAGTTGAGAGACATCCAGGTGCTGTGTCTGGTACTGATGGTTGTGATTGAACCGTTTCTTTGCTGTGCTGCTGCTGCGGCTGGTGGCGTGGTCCCCCGAACGAGAATGGCCACGCCTGCAGCTGACGACGATCCCTCGGTGACACTCACGAACTGCTTTCCCAGCGTAATACTCAGTCCTTCCAACATCCCATACACCTGCGAAGTCAGCGATGCCCAACCACTGATTGACTTGAACCTCTCCGCATCGTACTACACCTCAGTTCTCAATCCTGGATGGCCGGCGACTCTGGACGAGAAAGCCAATACCATTACATTCAAGCCTGATCGTGGGGCACCTTCGGGACGTTGGGAATTGGCCATAACACGTGTTTCTGACGATGGAAACTCTGACACNCCTTCCAACATCCCATACACCTGCGAAGTCAGCGATGCCCAACCACTGATTGACTTGAACCTCTCCGCATCGTACTACACCTCAGGCGTCCTCAGCTCCTTCTGGCCGGCGACTCTTGATGCGAAAGCCAATACCATTACATTCATGCCTAATGGTGGTGGTCCGTCTTCAGGACGTTGGGAATTGGTCATAACACGTATATCTGAGGATGAAGACTTTGACACTCCTCTGACGACCAATAAGAGCATGGACTTCATGCGCATCGGTGCGACCCATGCGGATTTTGCTACACTCCATCCGTATTACGGTATGGTCGTCTCGTGGGCACCCAATCTCCCGAGTGGCACCATGGCTTCCGACTAC